GTAACTTTCCGATCACGTGCTTTTGGACATAGAATCTATCCTTGAACTTAGATCCCTTTTCCTGTTATTCTCACAATATTTCATAAACAATTTAATTTGCGTTTTAAATAAACTCATATCATAGCTAAAAAACTGACAATGGAGAATGCAAATAAAACATATGTATTTATCAAATTATAACTCATGTCCTCTGGTGCAGTAATACAATTTCGCATAAATTATCAAATTGCATTACATTTATTAAGATATAGCCCATATTTGTTGTCAATAGAGATAATTTTTGTGTGTTTTATGTTCACCACATCATCAATACAAGCCACTGAACTAAATGTACCTGCTACAGGTAAATTGCTATTTAGATAATAAATTAGTATATTAATAGAATGGGGTTTAACGTTTAACTTTCGGCAAGAAACGTGGACGAAATATCAATATTATATTTGAATAGACCGATTCCACGAAGAGGTTTTGAAATTTAGAGACTATAAAATTGAAGACGTGACAATAGATGTCAATTTGTTGTTGAGATATAGATCATATTTGTTGTCAATAGAGATGATTTTTGTGTGTTTTATGTTAATCATATCATCAATACAAGCCACTGTACTAGATGTACCTGCTACAGGTAAATTGCTATATACTCTCCAGAAACTGTCAAACAAAACCATTGGCTAATACAATTACTAAATAACTTAAATTATGCCAACTCCAACATGCCATTTGGTGCAGATTACTTCGCAGCTATACTGGCATTAATAGTTTTTTTCATAATTGATAAAAATAAACCCATCGTAGAAACTTTAGATAAAATCAATCAAAAACTTAATGCAAAAACAAAAGAAACGTTTGAATTTTTCTACTTTGAATACTACGATTCAACATTCAGATTTGAAAGATAATTTGGATTGGTTTGTGGATAAAGCTTTTAATGGAGTTTTCAAGAAAGGCAGAAACTTGATGGCCATTTATTCAGAAGATGCTAAATGGATTATAAAACGTCGCAATGGCGACACTATAGTTTTTGATAAAGAAAAGTTTCGAAACATTATACATTTTCTCATTGACAATGACATATTTGAGGATGGGGATCAGATAATACAGCATACTATTGGTTTAACAAAGGGAACTGATCCCGTCCCATTTATTACAAACGCACATTTATATGAATCCTGCTTTCATGATCATAAAGGGAAAACTGATTACAAAGTAGCTAAAAGTCTAAACTATACCTTCCGATACATTGATGACATAACACCTATCAATGATAAGGGAACTTTCAACAAATATAAAAATGAAATATATCCCCCAGAACTAATATTAAATAAAGAAAATTCCGACACTATAAATGCACCTGTTCTCGACTTGGATATTAAAATAATTAACAATAAATTTAATGCTGGTATTTTGGACAAAACGGACAAATTTGTGCTTGAAGTAACATACCAGATGCTGCGCTATATAATGTTTTCTATTCACAAGTATTACGAATTTTGACAATATGTAACGATAAAGAACTATTTCCGTTAATATAAAATCTCTTTATTTTAAGTGCACTGCAAAAGCCGGTACATAATAATGCATTTTTAAAGAAATTTCGAAACTTCCATTTCTTCAACATACCAAGTTTGACATTTCTTGTAAGTACATTACCGACTACATGTTGGATAATGATCTCTAATTTAATGTTTATTTTGGGTGGTTGGATGGCCGAATGGTTAGCAAGTGCGCGCTGTATCATAAGGCCTGTCATTGAGTCAACTGGCGTGGTTTCGAATCCCCGATTGTACGTGACAAGGAGTAGGGTCGCCTGTCCAACCTCGTGGGTTTTCTCCGGGCCCTCCGGTTTCCTCCCATTGCAAGCGAATTATTGAAATAAAATTAAACCATATGTTAGTCCCAAAATGACCTAGTTTGTGTCGAGTGGACGTTAACCCCCCCCCCCTCTCTCTCTCTCTCTCTCAAGACGCGCTCCGTACTTCACTGAAGACGGTATTTTCATCCTGTGGCCACCACCACCCACCACCCAATGCTCCATGTAATCCGTATTTGTATGATGAACTGAGATTAAACTATTAAATATTCGCCCTGGTTTCCTGATAATTCCTCTATTTAGTGTAACATTTATTTTCTGCCAAGTTTTAAGGCTGAAGGATGTCACGATCTATAGATTCCTTCGACCAGGTCTGGAAAAATCTAAAATATCCCAACTCCTTCATAATTTTGCTGTTTGCGATATTTTGAGCTCTTTGTAGATTAAAATCCTCAGAATGTTTTGGGGTTTTTTTTTAAAAATGGAGAACAGGATTAGTAGGGTTCACCCATGAACATTAAAATAGATTTATCTCCCTTACATAAACTGAAACCCGGAAGAAATCGCCATCAAAACAGGGAAGGAAATATTTTACCTACCAACTACAAGTTCGTTCAAGTAAATAGGTGAGTTGTTATGATAAAAGGCTGGAGAGACATTTCTACATGATGTTACCTCTTTCAAATCTTCATGGTGTCTATCCTAAAGCGCACATTTTATAAATTATATACTCTCAGATTCACAGCCATTAATTACTCTATTGGCTAATTATGATGTAATTAATCATGAGATTAGTCACTCTTGCCAAATATGGCATGGTAACTTTCCGATCACGTGCTTTTGGACATAGAATCTATCCTTGAACTTAGATCCCTTTTCCTGTTATTCTCACAATATTTCATAAACAATTTAATTTGCGTTTTAAATAAACTCATATCATAGCTAAAAAACTGACAATGGAGAATGCAAATAAAACATATGTATTTATCAAATTATAACTCATGTCCTCTGGTGCAGTAATACAATTTCGCATAAATTATCAAATTGCATTACATTTATTAAGATATAGCCCATATTTGTTGTCAATAGAGATAATTTTTGTGTGTTTTATGTTCACCACATCATCAATACAAGCCACTGAACTAAATGTACCTGCTACAGGTAAATTGCTATTTAGATAATAAATTAGTATATTAATAGAATGGGGTTTAACGTTTAACTTTCGGCAAGAAACGTGGACGAAATATCAATATTATATTTGAATAGACCGATTCCACGAAGAGGTTTTGAAATTTAGAGACTATAAAATTGAAGACGTGACAATAGATGTCAATTTGTTGTTGAGATATAGATCATATTTGTTGTCAATAGAGATGATTTTTGTGTGTTTTATGTTAATCATATCATCAATACAAGCCACTGTACTAGATGTACCTGCTACAGGTAAATTGCTATATACTCTCCAGAAACTGTCAAACAAAACCATTGGCTAATACAATTACTAAATAACTTAAATTATGCCAACTCCAACATGCCATTTGGTGCAGATTACTTCGCAGCTATACTGGCATAAATAGTTTTTTTCATAATTGATAAAAATAAACCCATCGTAGAAACTTTAGATAAAATCAATCAAAAACTTAATGCAAAAACAAAAGAAACGTTTGAATTTTTCTACTTTGAATACTACGATTCAACATTCAGATTTGAAAGATAATTTGGATTGGTTTGTGGATAAAGCTTTTAATGGAGTTTTCAAGAAAGGCAGAAACTTGATGGCCATTTATTCAGAAGATGCTAAATGGATTATAAAACGTCGCAATGGCGACACTATAGTTTTTGATAAAGAAAAGTTTCGAAACATTATACATTTTCTCATTGACAATGACATATTTGAGGATGGGGATCAGATAATACAGCATACTATTGGTTTAACAAAGGGAACTGATCCCGTCCCATTTATTACAAACGCACATTTATATAAATATGAATCCTGCTTTCATGATCATAAACGGAAGACTGATTACAAAGTAGCTAAAAGTCTAAACTATACCTTCCGATACATTGATGACATAACACCTATCAATGATAAGGGAACTTTCAACAAATATAAAAATGAAATATATCCCCCAGAACTAATATTAAATAAAGAAAATTCCGACACTATAAATGCACCTGTTCTCGACTTGGATATTAAAATAATTAACAATAAATTTAATGCTGGTATTTTGGACAAAACGGACAAATTTGTGCTTGAAGTAACATACCAGATGCTGCGCTATATAATGTTTTCTATTCACAAGTATTACGAATTTTGACAATATGTAACGATAAAGAACTATTTCCGTTAATATAAAATCTCTTTATTTTAAGTGCACTGCAAAAGCCGGTACATAATAATGCATTTTTAAAGAAATTTCGAAACTTCCATTTCTTCAACATACCAAGTTTGACATTTCTTGTAAGTACATTACCGACTACATGTTGGATAATGATCTCTAATTTAATGTTTATTTTGGGTGGTTGGATGGCCGAATGGTTAGCAAGTGCGCGCTGTATCATAAGGTCTGTCATTGAGTCAACTGGCGTGGTTTCGAATCCCCGATTGTACGTGACAAGGAGTAGGGTCGCCTGTCCAACCTCGTGGGTTTTCTCCGGGCCCTCCGGTTTCCTCCCATTGCAAGCGAATTATTGAAATAAAATTAAACCATATGTTAGTCCCAAAATGACCTAGTTTGTGTCGAGTGGACGTTAACCCCCACCCCCCTCTCTCTCTCTCTCAAGACGCTCTCCTTACTTCACTGAAGACTGTATTATCATCCTGTGGCCACCACCACCCACCACCCAATGCTCCATGTAATCCGTATTTGTATGATGAACTGAGATTAAACTATTAAATATTCGCCCTGGATTCCTGATAATTCCTCTATTTAGTGTAGTGTTTGATTTAACATTTATTTTCTGCCAAGTTTTAAGGCTGAAGGATGTCACAATCTATAGATTCCTTCGACCAGGTCTGGAAAAATCTAAAATATCCCAACTCCTTCATAATTATGCTGTTTGCGACATTCTGAGCTCTTTGTAGATTAAAATCCTAAGAATGTTTTGGGGTTTTTTTTAAAAAAATGGAGAACAGGATTAGTAGTCTTCACCCATGAACATTAAAATAGATTTATCTCCCTTACATAAACTGAAACCCGGAAGAAATCGCCATCAAAACAGGGAAGGAAATATTTTACCTACCAACTACAAGTTCGTTCAAGTAAATAGGTGAGTTGTTATGATAAAAGGCTGGAGAGACGTCAAACAGAATATATAGGTATACCGGTATCGATATATTGCGATGCGTTTTGGACATGCTCTAGAAACAGGAAGCATATCAATCAATACATTACAATGACGATGATAACCAAAGTCCAAACAACTGTCAGCTATATAATATGTCAGCTCAATAGAGAAGTGGTACCAGATGTTATATAAAGAGGAAGTGTGTCCTGTCGCATACATCAGTCGATAACAACCGGGGGAAATATAACCTAAATACATAATAGAACAGGGGATCACGTGGCTAAGTGGGTAAGACGCTGGCTCGCTAGCCTGGAGGTCGGGTGTTCGATCCCTGCATTGGCCGAGAAAGTTCATCCAGATTTTCCGGCGTGGTTCCCCCTTGTCAGTGATGCAGGACGGAGGGCCTGACAAGAACAGCTGTCTAGTCTTTCGGATGAGACGAAAAACCGAGGTCCCGTGTATACATTGGAATGCACATAAAAGATCCCTTGGCAGATGGAATTCAATATAAGAGTAGGCGAAAGTGCCGCTGCCCGGGCAAAATTTCCCTCATCGCACACTGTATGGCGTATGCCCGTCTTCATTAGCCCAGCACAGGAGCAGTAGGACGTTAAACCTCATTTCATTTCATTTCATAATAGAACAATAAGAAAATCTGTGTCATTCAATCGATCGAAACGCTTGACGAGCGACTCGCTACCCGTATTTATTACTGACCTCATTGTTAGCCAATCATCTATCAGTATAATGTAGTTTCCGGTTTACTCAATAAAACAACATGTGTCCAACTGTGCTTCGTATTAAAGGACAAAATTGGTGCCAGTCATTATCACATATGTGATAGAGCTGGTTAAACACATTCCAAATATAATTTTAACACAGAGATCATTGTGTAGCAGGATCGATGGACAACGGACTATCCACTTTCCAGGTCGCGGGTTGAACGAAAAGAGACAAAGACAGGAACACAGCTATAAAGTTTATTTACAATACACAGGAACAAAACAGCCAATTATTTACAGAAAGAAGAACAAGTAGAAGACAAGAGCACTGAAATAATAATAAAACTAAATTAGCAAATATATATATACAAAAGGATATAGCTTAGATACAGCTTCTAATAACTAGTAATATAGTATAGAGGTATATTGCCTATTACAGGTAATAATAATGGAGCATTTAGAAATATTATACATAAATAACATATAACAAAAAGGGAAACTAACTAAAAACATACCCTGTTAAAGGTGCTCTTAAGAAATGAAGAATTATAGAGCTAATGTATGATGGAAAACCATATATACATGTACAAAAGAGCGAAACACTAAAAGATAAAACAAAACACCAAATTAGACATACATTTTAAAATAAAAGGTTTTACTTATTTAGATTGAATATAATGTATTATTTTATTTGTAACTTATATAAGAATAAAAAGTATCTAAATTAGAAAGGAATTGTCTTCTATTATATTGTCAAGTCAAGTTAAACAAATATAAACCTACCTGAGTTAGTGAATTCAGAAAATGATGCATCCAAGATGGAGATGTGACTAAAGGTGAAACAGGATGTTAGGATAGTATCTAAGTTACCGAATACTACTCACCATGTTAAAATAACATGTTTAAACTATAAACTAAACTAATTATACCAACTGGAAAAACAAAACTTACTGGATATACAGGACAATAGAACTAGATAAAATACTTAAAGAGAATATCACACCAAATACTTAAAGAGAATATACCACACTACTACAATTGCTACGATAGCTGAGTAATACAGGTTAACTGAATCGGAAGTGACGAACGCCAAAGGAAAACACGAGTCATCTCTCTATATAACTGACTGATGTGACGAGTGATAACGGATATACGGGCGAATTTCTGCTCACTAATAATTCCTCTGAAGACCAAAAGTTGTTGTGTGAGACTTAGAGAGGATATCTGACAATTCATAAAAAAAGAATTGACTGCCACTAGCTTCAGAAAAAACCCTCGATAAGGATTCTGACAAGGGCAGCTGTCTAGTCTTCCGGATGGGACGAAAAACTGTGACCCGTATACACATTGGCGTGCACGTAAAAGATCCCTTTGCAGTTGGAATTCGATATAGGAGTAGACCATAGTGCCGCTGCCCGGGCAAAATTCCCCGCATAGCACATTGTATGAGTATGTCCGTCTTCATTAGCCCAGTCGAGGCACAACAGTGGGACGTTAAACACCATTTCATTTCATTCTTTTTTAAATATAATCGGCGGAGTAAGGTCTGTTTTCCTGGGTGGATTGCTGCGGTTTAGACAGTTCGGGAGAGCCCTCGGTTTTTTCTTTTTTTTTCGGGTTATTTTTTGCTACCTAGCTCCAGCACAGCCTATCAGTCTCGTGCTTTACCCTACACACAACTTATAGTTGTTCATTGTTTGTGTATTTTAGGCATGTTGAGATAATAACGGCTACTTGATATCCACTGACATCCAACTAAGATGAGTTCAAGGAGGTTCGTATATTAAATAGACCAGGGTTTAGAATCTGTCCACCACCCACACCATCCTAATGTCTATTCGGTGAACATCAGGGTTAACTGGGGTAAGGTATAGGTTGCATATTGTCTATACGTTAAACATCGGGATTAACAAGGGTAAGGTATAGTTAGCCTGTTGTCTATACTGTGAACGTCAGGGTTAACTAGAGTTAGCCTATTGTTGGTACTGTACAACAGTATAAGTGCAATTTTTGTGTATTCTTTTGGATATTCGTTGTTAACTAAATGAAGACAAGACTTTTGTTGGTTGTTAATATTTCTCTATTCTTTGGTTAACAATAATCAACATAACTTACAGCAGACAATTAATATAACAATTATTGGTTCAATGCTTAATAGAAGTTAAGCTCCAATGTGAATATGGAAATTGACATAAACTCGTGTCTCCAAATATAGGTGAATCAAATCTGTCCTTAGGGATGTGATCTGAAGTTGATCTCCTTGTGACAGGTTTCTAGAAAGCTCCCTCTAATTTTGTTATTTGGGTCTATATATCCCCATGCATCGCCCAGGGCATTAATCCTACAAATCTATCGTGTATGCAAACAATACACCATGGTAACTTAAAACGCTTTAGCCCGTAGACTTAAGACGTTAATTACAATTTATAAGGTTAATATAGTTTAAAGTGTAAAACAAAGAATACTGGAGACATATAAGAATATATAAGACAATATGAAATAGATATAAATGGATGTTAATTAAGGTGGATTAAGATCCATTAAAATATAGTTTACTTGATTGAGTAATACTGTGCGGATAAGCACGACGTATTAAACATCTACTATTGGGTTTTAATTCACCCTACTACATCTTCAGGGTAAACTGGGGTAAGCTATAGTTTGCCTATTGTTGATACGGTGAACAATAGGATTAACTGTGGTAAGGTAGGCTACAGTGTGGACAGACTCTAATAATATGGTATAAATTATTCACGTATTTCAAAAATAAGAATTGCTCTATTATATGGATGTATTTGATTAATGCGATTAATGAGGCGAAATATCTTGAGTCTTTACATTGTTATTGTATTTATATCATCTTAAAGATACTTTATGTAAGATTTAGATAAAGAACTGGCCATTCGTGCTATAATAGTTCGAAAGTAGATGATGTAAAATGAATAATTTGAAAATTTCATTCAAATTACTCTATTGCAAGCGAAGATATTAGCCTTTGAAGGTTTGACAGACGTGTGCAATAATTTCAACCACCGTACTGGTTGATCGAAGCTAGGTCTCGGTCCTCCATATTTGATTAAATCAAAATATCGCTGAACCATTTTAATCTATTTAATATCGGAGAAATCTGATGCCATCGAGAGTTGATTAAGGCCTGGATCAGTTAATTAATGTCTAATTAATACTTTAGAAAACATCTAAGGCCTAAAGAAAGACCTGCAATAGGCAGATTTAGCTCTTACACAATATATGTTTAATATATGATTAATATATTTTAGGCGACTGAAATCAAAACTACGCCAAGCTGAAAACGAGGGAAATATTGGAGAAGTAGTAGAAACATTATCAGTACAAGATAAGAAGCAAGCTTTACCTATAGCAGCTAGACAAGGATTGTATGGTGTTGTGATTTATCTGTTAGAACCCGGAGTAGATGTACAGTATGTTGATGGTCGTCAGAACAACCTGCTGTACATACTTTTACTTAATTATAATGTATATATCAATACTGGTAGACGTGATTTGTTGTTACAATGTGTAGTTAAATTAGTTGATGCTGGTGTGGATGTCAACCACATGAATGATGATAAAAAGACACCTGTACATATAGCTGCAAGAAAACAGTTGTATGAAGTTGTGATATATCTGTTAGAACATGGAGTAGATGTACGGTATGTCGATAGTCATCAGAACAACCTGCTGTACATACTTTTACATAACTATGACAGTAACGACAATACATGTAGACCTCATTTGTTATTACAGTGTGTAGTTAAATTAGTTGATGCTGGTGTAAACGTCAGTCAGTTGAATGAATATAAAATGGCACCTATAGTTATAGCTGTTAGACAAGGGTTGTATGAAGTTGTGATGTATCTGTTAGAACACGGTGTTCATATAGATTATGTTGATAGTTTTAAACGCAACATTCTTCACTATGTTTTATGCTGTGTGTTTTCCGGTATGATAGATGAAGAGAAATGTATGCAGCTGGTTAATACTTTAATAAACATGGGATTAGACATAAACCAACCTGACTATAAAGGTAATACCCCGTTGTTCTATGTCGGTACATACGACACCTCTGATGACATCAGCCCGTTCTCTCTAGGTAAAGTGTACCGAATAAAATTGAAATTACAGAAAGTGCAGGACACTCATGTTCGACTGAAATGTAAACTGATTAACATTTCATTAGAAGCTGGTTGTAATGTGAACCATCAAAACACTGAAAGGCAAACGGCCGTAATGTACCATATAAAACACCAAACTGATATCAGTATATTAAAACTGTTAATTCCACATTCTAATTTAAGTTTACCTGATAAAAATGGTGATACTGCATTAAATTATTGTATTAAATATCACATGATCAATTCGACAGCCATCTTTAAACTTTTGGTAGACTCCGGTTCAGATCTGATGTCAGGTAACAATGGAGTTAAGTTGTTCCATGATATTTTAAAATGTATGAGGTTGGGGATGTTTAGTTATTACATTAGGCTAAAATTGGTTGTTAATGGTGTTACAGCTGAAGGAGAAAATATGCTTCACCTTTTAGCTTGTGTTAACTATGATTATTCTAGAAACAAGTTTAACTGGTTGTTAAATAACGAGCTAGACATCAACCATCCCTGTTCTAAATCCAACTCGCCTACTATGATAGCTGCTTTTTTTATTAAACAGCAAATATTTAGAATTGTTGACACGTCATCCTAGAATAGAGATCAATGCACAAAATAACCAGGGCCATACAGCTCTTCATCTCTGTATCATTGGATTTACGATGTTTAAAGATGGCTTGAACAAGAGACAGGTAAATGATGTTGTTAAGCACTATTGTAGACAGATATATCCGATATACATGGTTTGTATTGATATTTTACTTGGTGTTGAGGGCATTGATGTAAATATTCCAGATCGTGGAGGTAGAACTAGTTTAATGATGGCTGCTATGAAAAACGACAGAGTGCTTACAAAGAAACTTCTTCAAGCTGGTGCCATAGTTAACATGTTAGACTATTCAGGAAGATCTGCTCTACAATATCTTGATATTTATCACAGTGTGTTTGATTTGACTTGTTTTAAATTACTTCTATCTAATGGTAATACTCACCTTCTCAATTTACCTTGTGTTGATGGCAACACGATTATCAAAACAGCCTTGTGTTTTCCCCGCTTCTGGGAACCATACCGCGTTGTTCGTTTTATTAGATATTTAATTGCTGAAAACTGTGATGTCCAGTCTCTCGTTACGTCTTCAGTTGAAAGTAGCTATAATCAAATTGATCTTACTGAACTCTGTAGTTCATATAGAGATAAACTGAGAAAACTGTTATATCTTAGCGGCGCCCAAGGGGAGGAAATTATGGCAGCATTAAATTTTGATGAGGAAGATAAACAATATGTAGACAACGACACAATTCACTCACGAGGCAGACAGGAATTCATTATCTTCTGTAATAATATATCTCTTAAGTCTCTGTGCAGTAGACTCATCAGACAGAATCTTGGATTGGGAATACAGGCGAAGGTTGAGGATGTAGATTTACCTTATGAACTAAATGACTTTCTTCTACTAAAAGATGTTCTTCATCCACAAGATTACAACTTAGACCATATTGATGATGGCTGTAATTATTTTGATGATGATGATGATTATGATGGTTATGATATAGATAAAGATAGAGATGATGATTATAGTCAATATAACTACCAGTATTTTACTCTCAATACGGATCATGAACTAAGACAAGATTGCCTAGAAACATCATTATTTCCTAATGGTGAGAATGATGATGATAATGATGAAGGTGGCGATTATTATAAGTATGGTTATGGTGATGATGTTGCTGTGACTGCTGTTGATGGTGCTGTTGTTGTTGCTGCAGTTGATGATGATGGTGCTTCTGTTGATGATGATGGTGCTGCTGTTGATGATGATGATGGTGCTGCTGCTGTTGATGATACTGTTTAACACTAAACTATATCTGAGGTAACTCCAGTGTTTATTTTGCCTTATTCTCACTCGCGACAGACTACAGCTGTAATTGGATAATTACCGTCACCTTAGTTTATGTGTAAGCCCACAATAATGACAATAGTTCTGATTTGTTCAAATACACTGTACTTCTCAAATTGTTATACCCTACTCTCCATTAATTTATATCCGCACATGTTTTATGTGAACATATATTGTTATGTCCTATGTCGTTTGCTCATATTTCTGGGAACTTGCTAAAAACCTGAATTGCTTTCAAAGACAGACACATGTTGATTAATGTATGTTTGACCTGTGTTACAGAAGATTGTAGGAGAATTATATAATCAAGTCACACGCACTTAAGATTAAAACAAAACTTCTTGCTACTGCTTGACTATATACTACAATAACAACAATATATCACACGCCATATTGTTTTGACTTGTTAAGACAATTCGTCTGCTATCGTGTTACAATACTCTGTAGTTCTAACACCCCCCGTCGTTTTATTGCCAATGAGACTTTATTTGATGATTATACAGCTTCCAATATAAGTAAATTGGTGATTTTACAGCGTGCGTTATTAATTACAAATCAAACCTGAAGCGCTATCACTTGGCGATTATCAACTTCGTCGGACCGGAAGTAGTACGAAATGAGATCAAAGGAATTCCCTTTTGTTTTCAATAGTAACAGTCTGTATCATCCGGTCCCTTCCATAGTGTATTTCTTGGGACAAAACCCTCGCGGTTCGAAAATAGTCTTGAAGATCTCCTTACGTAAAACTTTAATTCTTAGCGCTGTTCATACACTAGATAGTATATGGGATGCCTAAAGTTATCGGGAAATGTGATAATGCTGATATGAATTATGATCATCTTATGGTTTAGTAAAGCAATTATTTCTAGCACTGTAAATAAATATAAAACTGGTCACTTGGACAACTGGTTTGCTTTGCGGGTGTGGGTGTCGGAGAAGACTACACTTTGTCCCTTGCCAGATTCTCCGTTCTACACCACTTACATTAGCGATCATTTGGGATTAAGTGTGATTGGGCTCGGAATGACACAAGATAATACTCAGCAAGGTCATGACGTAAACTACAAAAACAACAGGACAGTATTCTTAAATAGGATAAACTGATAAAGATCTATTGCATTTTGCAGAAAATTATATTCAGCATGGTCGGGTCTTCAGCAGTAGGACCAGGAAGAGTACCCACAAGGTTGGACAGGCGACTCTACTCCTTGATACCTACCGGTGGGGGATCGCGACCACGTCACATGACTCAATGACAGGCCTTGTGATCTGAACCATTCACCCCGCCCCCTTCCCTCTGTTATAGACACATCACATACTGGACTAATATAAGTTGGTTGGTATAAATATATCACACAGTTGACTAATCTAAGTTGGTTGGTATAAATACATCACATACTTGACTAATATAAGTTGGTTGGTATAAATATATCACATACTGGGCTCTGTTTCACAAAAACTTAAATCTCCTTAAAATTGTCTTAAACTAAAATTCCATCCTGACTTAAGATAGATGCGTTTCACAAAACGATTTTAAGCATTTTAGATAAAATCCACTAAAATAAAATTGTAAAATAAAATTGTATCTCAACTTAAAATAGTGGCGTTTCACAAAACTATTTTAGGGACAATTTTAACGAAAATCAATTTTAACTTAGGACAGCCGTCACCCTCTCCTAACTTAAAATCACAGCATTAACAAACATTGATTAGAGCTACGTTGTGAGATCTGTTGCGACATATAGATATATTTGGAATAATGATAATATTGCCAATGGCCCGGGTTATATAATTTAAACATACTATCATTCACAAAAATAATTTTCATTCAATTTCTTTTCATTGCAAGGGCAATACAGCTGCAGCCCACCCGTTTATGTTATTGTAAGGTAATATAAGCAATTAGATGTCGCCTCAAATTAAAACCCCAGTTAACAAAACTTTTTGCTACTATTTTATATATAAGCATATGATTCAAGTATAAATTATACTATTTCCAAATAATTAATAGGCGAAAAAAAAAAACCTAAAAAAAAAATCTAATGTCTATAAGAAAATATCTTTGTAGGCCTACTGAAGGAGAGGGGGCGGGGGGTGTAACATCCACTAGCCACAAATTAGGTCATTTCAGGACTAACACATGGTTCAATTTTATTTGAAGGAAACTGGGGGACCCAGAGAAAAACCAACGAGGTTGGACAGGCGACCCTACTCCCTGTCACGTACAACCGGGGAATCGAAACCCCCATCAGTTATAATACTAGATACGTCATATGCAAAGTATTTATGGTTTTGGGGTTATGATGATTTATATAGGAGTCAAGGGTATTTTATATGGGGAAAAATCATTCTAATTTAGTAAGATATATACGCATTTTCCAATAAGGAGTGTGGCACTTTGGCATTTTCAAATTATTATTGAAAGGGTCCATGGCACTGACATTTCAAATCTTGGCATCGGAACATTGGTTATTTTGTGTATTAGTTTAAAAGTTGTTAAATACTTTTAAAATTCCACAATACTTTAGTCTAGATTAATCGTTTGAGTCAGAAATAGCACATGTTTCTGTTATCCAAAATACTTTAATCTAGTTTAATCGTTTGAGTCAGAAATATCACATTTGTGACAATTTCTCAATAGTTTCTGTTATCCAAAATACCATAAAACTACGAAATTCAAGCGATTTAGTATATCCATACGCATTATTTCCATTGAAGCCAGCGAGTAAATCAAATGCCAAGGTCATGAAAGCGACAGGCAAGTTCAAGGCCAACCAACTGATACATTTCAAAACAAATAATACGCAATAAACTTATTTATTTCATCTCTCGACGACTGTCTGATCATGTGCAGACATTGTTACAACGTATGAAACTTTCCTCGTTGGTATTGTAACGGTTAGTTCAACTTGGCAACCGTTTTCAATTCCGAAGCGTGTATGCTTACACCCTAAGTGCCCTCGCCGGAATTGTGCACTGCGCGAACACAAGCAATTTTAACTAAAATCTATTAAAATTGCATTTTAAGTTACAATCGATCTTCGTGAAACGCATAAAATTTAAAATTTCAGTTTGATTTTAGTTAAAACCTATTTTAGTGATTTTAGTTTAAGTTTTTGTGAAACAGGGCCCTGGACTAATGTAATTTGGTTGGTATAAATACATCACATACTGGACTAATCAAAGTTGGTTGGTAGTTTGAAGTTCATAGTAACTGGTATATGATCTGTTAATCTGCTCAGCCGTGTTACAAAATTATATCGGGTTGGAATCTAAAATATATAAAATAAGAATGAGTTGTTTTAATATTCAATAGACCTTCTCTACAATAAAAAATCTGTCTCGAGATTTAACATTGTTTACAATATTATCCACATCAATTCATCAGGCCCCGAAAAAAAATTTGCCGACCATAGCTCTAAAATACCTACTGTAGACTGTGCCGGGTGTGCCCCCCCTAAAAACCTCACTGCCCCTTCGAAGCTAACAGGCTGGCTACGGGCCTGCAATTCATTTGTCAATTCTCCAAATTGCACTTTTTAGTTCACTTGCCGTAGGTTTATTGTGTGAAAATGGTAAGCAAAAAAGGGTCAAAACAACCTCATCTGCACCCTCCCCCATTTTTAAAATTACTGCATCCGCCCCTGTTAGTGAACCCGTCAAATATTTTTGAAGCCACCGCGCCCGACTCCTCCTATAAATTTAAGAGTTACCGTGCTCGATTCTCTCCTATACATTTTATAGAACTACCATGCCCAAATCTCCCCTATTAGATTTACAGAAGTACCGTGTACGACCGTCTCCTATAAATTTTACAGAATTAACATGCCCGACTCTCCTCTATTAGAAATGAAATGTAATGGGGTTTAACGTCCTACTGTTCTGCTCCTAAACTGGGCTAATGAAGACGGGCATACGCTATACAGTGTGCTATGAGGGAAATTTTGCCCGGGCAGCGGCGCTACGGCCTATACTTATATCGTATTCCAACTGCCAAGGGATCTTTTACGTGCACGCCAATGTGTACAAAGGACCTTGTTTTTTGTCCCATCCAAACGACTAGACAGCTGTCCTTGTCAGGCCCCCTCTATTAGATTCACAGAGTTACCGTGTACGACCCTCTTTACAAAGCTACCGTGTCCGACTCTCTTGTATAAATTACTTACAACAGGATAATCAACATGGTACAGAATCAGATCTATTCTACGTTTTCCACCAACAGGACTGATTTCTGTTTTGGGCAAGGCATAAACAATACTATCTAGACTAGCCTCTTCTATATCAGCGTCCACGATGTACTGTTGTCGTAACAACGGGGATTCTAGACATTTCTTTAAACCTTCAGGTTTTGACACTTCGTCTTCATAAAGATAATGTTGTCTCATTTCAGTTCCTACAACAGAGAGAGAGGGAAATGGGGTTTAACGTTCACTCGACAAAAACTAGGTCTTTTCGGGACTAACATATGGTTCAATTTTATTTCAATAATTCGATTGCGTGTAAGGGTCTTTAGCAGAGGGAGGGGGGAGAAATCAGATGCCCCGGAGAAAATCCACCAGGTTGGACAGGCGACCCTACTCTTTGCCACGTACAACCGAAGAATCGAAACCACATCAGTTGACTCAATGACCTTCACATTGATCAGCAGTTAATATTCGCTAGGCCGCTACAATCACTGATAAGGATGACATGATGCGACTTAATGAGCCACAAATATTAACTTTTTTCCTCCGATAAATTAAATTCTAAAAAAAAATTTTTTATGTATTAGAAAAATAAATAAAGACGTTTGAAGTATCGGTATTTGTAGGTAAAATTATTTCCTATTTAGTATAAGTGGGTATGTAAAATAAGTAAAAGGCACCATTCCGCCCGAACTAGTAACGTCTTATGTGACGTCAGGTGTTCAAGGCAGTCATCTTTTTCAGACATATTAGAAGACTTTCGTAATTCTCTGTGAAACAGATTGAAATACCTTATGATACGACTTGCATGCGCTAACCATTCATGTGCTATACATTGTCCCTTGCCAGCTTTTCATAATGAAATTGTCCTATCATTATTCAAACTAACACATCTGATGAATCCAATTCAATAATCTAATCTGAACTAAATGAAAGAAGTTCAGTTGAGGCCTACTTACCAACAGTCCAATGATGGTCTGTACCTGGAGATTGTCTCCCTTCATCACGATAAAAATCAAATAATTCATGTTCTCTCACAGTTTTATCACCTGTAAATAATATAATATACGCTTCACATGCCATATAATATATGTTTCACCTGTCTTCATATAAGGGGGTTTGGATGACCGAATGTTTAGCGTTTATCTGTAAATACAATTTGAGAAAATATTGTCAGTTTTAAGGGGATTTTTGTTGTCTGAAAGACCCTTTTTCCACAGGTAAATGGTCCCTTTTTTGTCCTTTATTTAATATATTTGCATAGCATGTAACTACAACGGTCAACCGTAGAAACATAAACAGATATAAATGCAAATGTACCAACAAATCCCAAAATATCAAACATGACAAGCCTAATTTAAGCAAAATAAATATCATAATAAATAAACCTCAAATTGAAGTGTTAAAGGACGCACCAATGTGAACCTAAATTTTGTGTGGTTTTAAAGACAATGCATTTCGAGTAGTTTGATATTAAAGACTATAAATATAAATTTAGTTTGATATTAAAGACTATAAACTTAGTTTGATATTAAAGACTATAAACTTAGTTTGATATTAAAGACTATAAATTTAGTTTCTATTTTGTTGGATATTATAGACTATAAATTTAGTTTGGTATTAATGACTATAAATTTAGTATGATATTATAGACTATACATTTAGTATGGTATTATAGACTATACATTTAGTTTGATATTAATGACTATAAATTTAGTTTGATATTGAAGACTATAAATTTAGTATGGTATTATAGACTATAAATTTAGTTTGATATTATAAACTATACATTTAGTATGGTATTATAGACTATAAATTTAGTTTGATATTATAAATTATACATTTACTATGGTATTATAGACTATACATTTAGTTTGATATTATAAACTATACATTTAGTATGGTATTATAGACTATACATTTAGTATGGTATTATAGACTATACATTTAGTTTGGTATTAAAGACTATAAATTTAGTATGGTATTATAGACTATAAATTTAGTTTCTATTTAGTATGGTATTATAGACTATAATTTAATATGGTATTAAAGACTATACATTTAGTTTGATATTATAGACTATAAATTTAGTTTGATATTGAAGACTATAAATTTAGTTTGATATTATAGACTATACATTTAGTTTGATATTAAAGACTATAAATTTAGTTTGATATTAAAGACTATAAATTTAGTATTATATTAAAGACTATAAATTTAGTTTGGTATATGTGATATGTTATATAACTGTAAACAAGAGACAGAAATAAAGACTGTTTTAGAAAGTTTTAGTTTTATTACAGAAAGTACAGTGAGTCAGTCAGACATTAACCAATGGAATACCTTATTGTTGTTCGTGATATTTATTCTAGGGTTAATTCCTTGATATCTGGAAAAATGTGGGGACAACACTAATTAGTATTGACATAAGTCATTAGACATTATTCTTGATTAGCCAGCCAGTACCTTACTTATCGAAGCACCGCAGATCTATTTTGGTTACAATAAAGTACACCAATTAAATTATGGTACATATAGAGAAAGAGGGAGAAATGGGGTTTAATGTCCACTTGACTCAAAGTAGATGATTTGAACATATGGTTCAATTTTTTTTCAATAATTCCCCTGCGCAGGTTGGACAGGAGACCCTACTCCTTGCCTCGTACAAGCAGAGAATCAAACCCATGCCACTTGACTCAATGTCAGACCTTATAATTTCATGCCCCCAATTAGCCAGCTGCCAGATCCCACCCCCTCCCAAGTATATATAGAGTCAGAGGCTAAAATGAAAAAAATAAGTTTTTTCCTTTTTTCAGAGAAAAATAGTATAGATCAAAATAATTACCTGGGGAAATATTATCAAAGTTAAAATCACCAGAAAGTATATCAAATGCTATGACATCATTTTCACGTTTTGTTGTTTCTCGAAATTCTTTCGTCCATTTTACAATATCATCCAACTGTTTATCAATCACCTTGACCTTTCCTAATGAAACAAATTGTATTATTATGGTAAGTTAATATATAACAAGCTATCTGTACAATACCTCTGTACAACACCCAGAGAGAGAGAGGAGAGAGAGAGAGAGAGAGAGACTAGGTTATAGGACTAACCTATGGTTCAATTTCATTTCAATAATTCGCTTGAGCATAGGTTCTGTAGAAGTGGGAAGAAGCATGTATCGGAAGGCCCGAAGAAAGCCGACAAAGGTTTGACAGGCGATCACACGCCTTGTCATATAAAAATAGGGAAATCGAAACCACGCCACTTGACTCAATAACCACCCAACCTCCAATTTTTTGTCAACCCAACTCCCAACCATTCAGTCACCCAACCCGCAACCATAGGCCAACCAACCCCCAACTATTAGGCCAACCAAGCACCAACCATTCGGCCACCAACCCTCAACCATTTGACCACTCAACCCCCGACCATACCCCCAACAATTCGGCCACCAAACCCCTAAATCAATCGGACACCCAACCCCCAATCATTCGGCCAAAACCCCCAAGCCTGCAAGAAGAACAAGATGAGTCCCTGGTCCAAAACTCCATATTTGAAGGCAAGAGTGAAGATTAAGGGGATGCTCGATTCACAGTCCAGAACGTCCCGAATTGACAGAACTGCAATCGAGTAATGCGGAATTCAGTTCTGTCACAATTCTTTCAGTCCCGACAACGGAGGTGGTGTGAGTAGAATCGTGACGTAATTAAACGGTTTCGGCTGCATGGATGGTTGAGATATTTACTTATTCAGAATCGACGCATGCGTTGTAGCTCGAAATCCTCCTTTTCACTCGATTGTCACTATTTTTGTGATCGAGAGAATTCAATTCCGGAACGTTCAATCGAGTACCCCGAATGTCTTTACCTTGATAAGATTGTAATTGTGTAGAATAAAGATATCCAACAACAGCTTTATCTGTTCTAATATCCTCATACCACAACAGCACCTTATAAAAAAAACATGAAAAATTATCAAAATTACAAATTTTATATAAATAGACAGAATGCATTTGTCATAAGCTCTTGTCCTGAGTTTACCAAGCATTCTCGGACTTAAACATACGTTATGCAAGAGCCAAAACTGCCTATTACAGGTCTTTCATTAAGCCTGAAATGTTATCTAAATTATTAAATAGATATTAATTAACTTATCCAGACCAAAATCAACTCTCGATGGCATCGTTAGCCTGCGATATTTACAGGATTAGAACCTGGTCTCCTGCTTCTGATTAAATCAAAATATGGATAATCGAGACTATGTTTTTTATCGTACCGACTTTAGTAATGATGATCGATGCTAGGCCCAAAATTCAATCGCTAAATACTTGGTTCAGGGTGGATCAATCTGACTGAAATGTTCAGCAAATTCCCTGTGTGAACTACCAGCTCTTTATCTAATCTCCCATAATGTATTTTTAAGTTAAGAATCTACTCAAAATTTTGGGCCTTATTTTAACTAGAATATTGCCCTTTATAAAACTTTTATTGTTTTAATGTATTTAATACAACAATAAGAATCTATGTGAAAAGGTTTGTGTTTCTGGACAAAGATATTTCTCATAAACAGTGATTGAAAGTTGAGTAAATTCTTAACTTAAGTCTGAGAATGCTTCGTGAACTCGGGGCTTAATTAAATGAAATGTATGTCGTAGCCCCTTATTTCCGATACATGTAGACATAAAATAGTAAAAGCGTCTAGTCATTCAAGTAAAAGCGTCGATGGTTGAATTCGACAAAGGACCGATTGTTCCAACTTATCACTGATGGGACTGATATGGTAATCATTCTCTAGTTATGTGAATTTCAATGACAAACTGAGGTCCACCAATACACACCCATGCATACATCTTTTTATAGAAAAACGATAGTTAAAATTTTAAAAAAGTAAACACAAATGCTACTGTCTGGGCAAAATTCTCCTCCTTAGTATTCAGTTCAGATGTCAAATATAAACACTGTTCCTTTTTATTGTGGGAAGCCACGCTGCCTAAGTGAGTGAGACGTTGGCTCGCTAACCTGGAAGTCCCATGCTGGCCGTGAAAATTCATCAGGATCTTCTGGCGTAGTTTCCCCTTGCCAGTGGTGCAGGGACAGAGTACCGGTACAATGTATAATCGTTTGGATGAGATGGAAAACTGAGGTCTCGTGTACACACTGACGTGCACGTAAACAATCCCTTGGCAGTTGGAACTTGATATAAGAATAGACGGTAGTGCTGCTGTTAGGGCAAAATTTCCCTCATAGCACACGGTACGGCCGTCTTTATCAGCCCAGTCGGAGCCGAACAGTGGGACGTTAAATCCCCATTTTATTTCATTTTTATTGACACTCACCTTTATCATTAACAATCCTTTACCTGCATAAACACACTGATTACAGCTCGTTTTAAAATATTTAAAATCAACGTCCAATATTTCATATTTACTGGCAAACATCAGACCACTGTTCAATAAAAAATAATTACTACCATGTCCATATATCCCCACGTCACGTATAACGTAAGGATAAATCTTATGAAGTTCTTCAACCAATAAATCACTATAGTTCGACTGCCATACTTCCTGGATACACAGAAACTCCAAATTAGGAAAGTGGACCGTGATTCCAGTCATAACAGCGGGTGGATTGTTGTTAATACAATGACGCAGTGAGAGCTGTATGTCCTCGTTGTCATTGACATCATTTCTCTGGCCATAAAACATCTGATCTAATATAATTCTTTGTCCTATTTCTTTCGCCCGCGAATGAGTGTCTGAAAGATTATTAAACCGCGATAAAAATTCGGGCAATAAACAGAAGTTTAGTGTTGCAACGCCATATTCGTTTATCTTTTTGCAACTCTGCACGTTAAAAGATGTATGTTTGACTGAAAGACGATACGGATTCCTGTACATGTATAATATACAGCGAATTATAAATCCAACAACAGCAAAGGGTAGAGATAACAAACAAACGGCCAAAAGTGGAGAAATCAAAAGAGATCTTTTAAAAAACAATTTCCACGCCCTCCTCCTCTCAAAAGTGGTTGCAATACATATTGATACCAACGCGCTTAAACATGACCAAAATGGTTTGAACAAGATGACACTGAGATGAAACAGCCATGCCAAAAGAGGTGATGGAAATTCTTTTTTGTGCAGCATCTTTGTAAATTTGCTGGCTGTTTGTTGATAGATGTTTTACATTTGTATCTGGAAAACAAGAAAAGTACATATTAAATATCTTCGAATCTGCTGATTAACAGGTCACTCAGTCAATGTGATTAAAACACAGATCCTATTTCGTTTCGTTTTTATTGTTCAAAATTTCAGTTTAATTGTCTTTACTACACTAGGGAGAGAGAAAGAAATGGGGTTTAACGTCCACCCGACACAAACTAGGTCATTTCGTGACTAACATGGTTTAATTTTATTTCAATAATTCTCTTGCACGTAGGGGTCTTTAGCAGTGGCAGGAAACCGGAGGACCAGGAGAAAACCCACGAGGTTGGACAGGCGACCCTACTCCTTGTCACGTACAACCAGGGATTCGAAACCACACCAGTTGACTCAATGACAGGCTTTTTGATACAGCACGCACGTTCTAACCATACGGCCACCCAACAACCCTTTACTACACTAGGATCTGGAAAAGTTGTTACTTTACCTGCGTTCTAGTTGAAGTGAGGGATTAGCCAATAAAACGGTCTGGGTAAACCACTAGAAACGTCAACTCTGATTGATTAATCAATGTCTGACGTCATAGGGTCAAAAGCCGCTCGTAGACCCCTGACATGACCTTCCACTACAACTAGTCAGATCTTCATGTAGTGCTGCCCCACCCACTATAAACTATACACTACCACTATAAACTATACACTACCAGTATCACCCACCATAAACTATACACTACCAGTATCACCCATGATAAACTATACACTACCAGTATCACCCACCATAAACTATACACTACCAGTATCACCCATGATAAACTATACACTACCAGTATCACCCACCATAAACTATACACTACCAGTCTCACACTCAATAAGTTATATACCACTAGTATCACCCACCATAAACTATACACTACCAGTCCCACCCGCCGTAAACTATATACCACTAGTCCTACCAACCGTAACTATACACTCACCCACCGTAAACTATATATCACCAGTCTCACACACCATAAACTATACACTACCAGCCCCACCCACCATAAAATATACACTACCAGTCCCACCCACCATACACTACTAGCAGTCTCATCCACCATAAACTATTGGCCAGATGGAATGTTTCAGGTCTACTTCACATTACCTACGTCCTACACTGCAAATACTGATTGGCAGGACCTGTGACAGGGTTCTCTGGGCCGAGGGATAAGCAACTCTGGGACAGGAGGATAGGAAGGTCTCTCCCACCGGGTTCGAAAGTTTGTGAAGGAAACGTGGTCTCTAGCGTCATTTTGGGGTATATCAGGGGTAACTGGAAATTTAACACAACTACAAACCAAACACATGGACTAGTTTTACTGTAACAATAATCGATTTGGACAAGAAATTTTAAGCAACAAACAAATGGGAAAACAAACACTGTGACCACCAATACCAAAAAGAAATTTTTTTCATCACATAAACTATTCGTTTATTTTTTCCAATACCCAAAACCCTGTTGAACTAGATTCAAACGAAAGGGGGCCTGAATACTCAAGTGAAACCAGGACTAACCAGAGGCCCACGGTGCAAAGTTCACCTGCTTACCTAAATTTTGTTTCGTCTTGTTTGGCCGAGTTACGTAAATTTGTGCATTACCTTATATTTAGATTTCAATGGCTTCTGCCAAGACATTTAACAGAAGGGGACGTATATTTCACTGAAATTTTCCTTTACATTGTTCAGGCGTTCACAGAGACTGACACACAACCGTTTAGCAGTAAAAAGTTGCACAGTTAAATTGACTGTGGGGGGGGGGGGCGATTCTTTTTCGACAAGGATTCTATTGGGTGGTTCTTGAACGTACAGGGCGAGTATAATGAGACCTATGTTCAGAGTTGAACTAATCCTTCCCATGCCACTAAACCAACATTTAGAAAATTCACTGGACGTCTTCTACTTTATGATCAAGTAACAGTGTATTTATTTATTAATTGATGTTAACAATTTTTATCAAAACATTACTCAGCATACCTTCGGGCCTCAATCTAGGCTCCAGACCCTGGACAAGTGCGTCGACTGCCCCCCCCCCCAACACCCACACACTCCCTACTGATTGGGATCTAACGGACGTGGATAACTGATAATATACACGAAGCCAAACTCTGGTTGCATGACAATATTTTTGGGTGAAAAAAAAGCTCTATTGTCACTATTCCATGACACTAAAAAATCACTTGTGACAACAATCACGTCCCAACAGTAATGGCATTCACCTACTGTTGATAACCTGAACTATAGCGATGTTCCCCCGTGATGTCACAATGGTATCAGGCGTATTCATTACCAGGCTAATTCATTACCGGTAAAATCGGCGTATTCATGACCAGTATATTATAGGGTTGATTGGTCGGTATATAAAGGTGCTAATTAGTACTCATCAGTGCCAATGTCTATGGGTGTTAATTAATCAATTAAGACAAGACAATAGAAGGATTAACAAGGTATTTATTATTTATTATACAATTACCAGAAACCCTAAATAATTATATGATGGTACTGATTGAGTTGTGGTCTCAATCTAACCATCTCGGTTAAATCAAATAACATTTATCTTATTTCTAATCTTGACACGGCGTAGTGGATCTGATTTAAGTGTACTTAATGTCATTGACTTCATATTGGAAGCGAGAGAGAGAGAGAAATGGGGTTTAACGTCCAATCGACACAAACTAGGTCATTTCGGGACTAACATATGGTTTAATTTTATTTTAATAATTCGCTTGCGCGTCAGGGGTCTTTAGCAGTGGGAGGAAACCGGAGGACCAGGAGAAAGCCCACGAGGTTGGACAGGCGACCCTACTCCTTGTCACGTTCAACCGTGGATTCGACACCACGCCAGTTGACTCAATAATGACGACAGGCCTTATGATACAGCACGCACGTGCTAACCAATGGCAATTCAAACATCCAACCCCCTCAGTTCTTTGGTGTTCAAAATATTGTTTTAAAAAGTAAAAGTGTCATTAAAACCCAGATTTCAAATGAAAGCTAAAAAATCAAAGCAAATTTTCCATGTATTACCGTGTTCCGTGGTTGTTGTTTACACCAAAGAACGTACAGGTAAATGATACAGTTTCAGAAAAATCATAAAACAGAATATAATCTCTGGGTATAAACTCCCCCAACACCGATACGATACCGTCTATTATCTGGACTGGATCCTTCCTACTGATTTAATAAGAACTCGGATCAGCCAATTTTAAAAAGCATTTTGTCATTTTCCTGTGATTTCCCTTTATTGATATCGTTAACGCTGCGAACTATATCACAGCTCTAAAATGATATCAAAATGAGCTTCCTACATCGCAAAATTAATTTTCAACCAGTATTATATCCTGGTGGTCAGTTGTGCACGGTCGGACTTTATTTCAGAATAGCTACTTCTGAGTCTACACCGTTACTTAAAATAGGCAAGAGCGCATCATAATATAATAATAGGTCTATTTTGGTTGTTTTTTTGTTGTTTTTTTCTCAAGAATTTACATCCGTGTCAATATTTTCAGTTCTCCAAAGCAGCTTTGTACTGATAGTTAACGACTCTCGGTGTGTCCTTGGATAAACTGACTTGTGGATCTACAGAGTACAGTTTGGCTGTTTTGGATTTGGTTGTCACTGATGATTGCGATATTGCCTTTGGTTTTATTATGACATTGACAGTGGAAGTAATTTCCTGGAAATGGAAAGATCCGTTATGTTGAAACACATTGCTTGCGTTACGACATGACAATTTACACAATATTATAGCTACATGATTGACAGGTGCGATGACATATTGATATTGAACTCTGTGATATTTTATTAATATATGCAAGAATTTTGAAAATAATTTTTAAATGGCTGCAAAAGACGGGATTGTTACCATTGTATATATTTTTTATTGGTGGTTGATCTTCTTTATAAAAGGTAAATATGTGTCAGCTATACTCCATTATGTTGTATTATATAATATTGTGATTTATGTGTTGTGTATAACAAAAGATGACAATGACTTGATTATTCCCTTGGTGGGGGTGGATGGCAGAATGCCGAATGGTTAGTGCGTGGAATGGTTAGTGCGTGGAATGGTTAGTGCGTGCGTGCTGTATTATAAGGTCTGTCATTCAGTCAACTGGTGTGGTTTCAATTCCCCGATTGTATGTGACAACCTCGTGGGTTTTCTCCAGGTCCTCCAGTTTACTCCCACTGCTAAAGACCCCTACTCGTAAGCAAATTATTGAAATAAAATTAAACCATTATGTTAGTCCTGAAATGATCTAGTTTGTATCTAATGCTCTCTCTCTCTCTCTCTCTCTGCCTAAGATAATCAAGATTTATTGTCCGCGATTTTTGCTCAGGAGAAGAGTATTGTGTCATCAAAATGCTTAGGGACGCAGGCCTCTCACCTCTCACAGAATGCCGACACATGCTACATCTTGTGATGTTCTATAAAGTGGTCTAGGGGAAAATACCATCATTGCCCCCTCAGGAATTTATTACACCAATTGGGAATATACGCAGGATTAAGATTCAAGATTTCAGTGACTTTGACCATCAAAACCCTGTTGAGAACTTCTCATTTAACAATTCCAAATGCTTTAAAATCCAAATGATTAAAACATCACTATTTTGAAACTCGTTCTTTAACAAAACAACTTTAGACTGGAACCACCTACAAGACACATCAACGCATTGCACCACTGTTGAGCACTCTTTCCCTGTGCACTAGATGTCCAGCAGGACCCTGCGCTGTATATCCACAGATACAGAAATGAAGTTTAACGTCCTACTGTTCTACACTGGGCTAATGAAGACCGTCATACGCACTATTGCCTACTCTTATATCGAATTCCAACTGCCAAGGGATCTTTTACGTACATTCCAATGTATACACGGGACCTCAGTTTTTCATGTCATCCGAAGGACTAGACAGCTGCCTTGTCAGGCCTCCGTTCTGCACCACTGACAAGGGGAAACCACGTCAGAAAATCCAGATGAACTTTCTCGGCCAATGCAGGGATCGAACACCGACCTCCAGGCTAGCGAGCCAGTGTCTTAACCACCAAGCCACCATGGCTCCCTCCACAGATATAGTTAAGGGGCTACCCTTAATTTATGTTGGAATTGATAAGAAAAAAATGAAGAAAAAAATAAATAAAAAATATATACACAGTAATTCTTTTTAGAGGGTGCTAAATTAAATTACTGTCAATTGTGTTTAATTCTGTTGAAGATTACAACCATCCGAAGGACTAGAGAGTTGATTATGGGCTTGTCATGTGAATACATATGTCTAATTAAACATTCATTATTCAAGAAGTAAATCTGCCTATTGCAGGTCTTTCGTTAGACCTGAAATGTTATCTAAATTATTAATGAGACATTTATTAACATGACAAAATCTTAATCAACTATCATTGTCATCTGATTAGTTCAATTTTCATTAAACTTGAATCTGAGCTCCTGTTCATCGGCTGTTGATGATTAACCGCAAAAATGGATAATTGAGACTCTGTTTATTATCGTAGCAATGGTAACAATGACAATTGCGGCTACAGTGTTATTAAAATAAATATTTCGTGGCTCAGAGTGAAGCAATTTGACTGAAATTTTCAGCAGAATTATTTTCCGTTACATTATCTATTTTTTTAACTATTATAGCAAGAACTGTCAGCTCTTTATCTAATCTTCCATAATGTATCTTTAATTTGTTGTTTTTTTTCTCCCAGATATCAGCGGTAACGACTATTATTGTTCAAAAGACGTCAGTGAAATTTATCATCCAGGAACCGGAGGGTACAATCGGATAATAAGTCGCTATGAAGATACCCGTTTCTATGGTAACGGATTGATGTGTAAATGGCATATTATAGCGAGGAAAGATCAACGTATCCTCCTGACCGTTATCCAATCTGTGTTACAATGGGCGCCAGAGAGTGCCGTTTGCGAAGGGGATAATTACGATTATATGACTATTAAAAATGGTGAGTATTCCGATTCCATTTTTCTTGTTTAATACCCTCAGTCGGTAGGGTTGGATGGCCGAATGGTTAGCACTTGCGCGTTGTATCATAAGGCCTGTCATTGAGTTAACTGGCATGGTTTCGAATCCTCGGTTGTACATGACAAGGAGTTAGGGTCGCCTGTCCAACCTCGTGCATTTTCTCTGGGTCCTCCGGCCCACTGCTAAAGACCCCTACGCGCAAGCGAATTCTTGGAATAAAATTAAACCATGTTAGTCCCGAAATGACCCCCATTAAACCCCATCTCTCTCTCTCTCTCTCTCTCTCTCTCTCTCCATTACAAGGGTTAGATCTATTTGATAAGGCCAACTTCAAGTTTGGTCAAAGGTCACGAGATGTAAACAGGACTAGCGCTGATCCCAACCCTAACCCTGGACCTAGCCCGAATGCTTACCCTAACCCTAACCTACAATCTGGCCAACTGTCACACCATTAACCTTATTTACAACTCAGCGACCTTGACGAAAATTGAGCTGGCCTTAACAAATAGATTTTGTCCATTACAAGCATGTTATTTGTTACAGCGGTCATGTGACATTAAGATAACTCCTATGGTACTGTTTATGGAGTAGGAGTAAGACTACAATTGACTGTCTGATAATGTGATATTGCTATAGATAGTCGAAATAATGTACAATTATTTTATTCAGATGAGGAAGATTCTAGAAGTTTAGTTCAATGGTGTGGTCAACGAAAGCCTGGTTGGATCATGAGTACGGGACCAGAATTATATATAACCTTTGTAACCAATGACGTCAATCCATATGAATATTCCGGAATCGTATTAAATATCCAAATATTTGGTAATTATTATTGCTATGATTAGAATAAAACACCAAATACATTCACATGCTGCCATTGGTGTACATGGGACTTCTAGTTTTTTATACCATTCAAAGAACTAAATGCTTTTAGTTACCAGAACCGAGGGCCTGGCATGAGACAACGTATAGTCGTTTGGGTGGGACGAAAAACCAAGGTCCTGTGTAAAAGATCCCTTAGCAGTTGGCATTCGATATAAGAGTAGGCCGTAGCACTGCTGTCTGGGCAAAATTTCCCTCATAGCACATTGTATGGCGTATATATGCCTGTTTTCATTAGTCCAGTTAGAGCAGAACAGTAGGACGTTAAACTCTGTTCATTTCATGTCTTTTACTTACCAGACCCTCTGTCCTGCACCACTGACAAAGGAAAACCATGCTGGTACTTATAAATCTCCAAGAACTTTTTTGGCCACCCTTGTTATCGAGACATATTTACTAAGCCACAATGGTTCTCTAAAAGTGGCGTGGTGGGGGGGGGAACATTAAACCCCATTTATCTCTCTCTCTTTAAAACTGTTTACTAAAATTCACTCCTTATTTTTCTTTTTGTCCAGGGGGAGTGGGTGACGGAATGGTTTAACGTATGCGCATTAGATCATAAGGTCTGTCGTTGAGTCAAGTGACATAGTTTTGATTCTCAGCTTGTACGTGACAAAGAGTAGGGTTGCCTGTCCAACCTCGTGGGTTTTCTCTGCATATTATTGGACTAAAATTGGACCATATGTTAGTCCCGAAATGATCTAGTTTATGTCAAGTGGACGATAAACCCCATCTCTCTCTCTCTCTCTCTCTCTCTCTCTCTTTCTCTCTCTCTCTCGCTCTCAGCCCTAGATGGTTAGCCTGGTTCAGACCACTGCATGCCTATTACATGGCCTCATTATTTATAGAAATATTTTTAAAATCTTCAGTAATCTGACATTTTGACATGATCTACAATATCCTGATTCTAAAGTGTTTATTGGCTACCGGCTACGTCTCATTTTGTAAAGAATTATTTTAGAAAACCTTTAGAAATAGGAATGGGACAGTTTGATGTTTTTGTTCATTTTCATGTTTTTTATCCTTTAATATTTGTTTATTTTTTTTCCAGAATCAATTCATTGTCCGCGTGGGTGGTTGTCGAGACCTGCCACTTATCCAATTCCGTCAGTCAAACCATATAAGGAAGTTTGCTATGGTGTAATGAAAGTTGCTGTCAACTGGAAAGATGCTCAAGAAATTTGTAACAATGCTCAATCTAATCTGGCCAGTGTAATGTCAGAAGATCTGTCTTCACTAAAAGGTGAGAGAGGGGACGGGGGGTTATGGGTGGCCTAGTGGTTTAGAGTGTCACATTTTGGGCTCTAGCTGACCTGCAGTCGAGGTTTTGATCCCTGGTGTGAGCAAAAATACCTTTGAAATAGGGTCGACTTCTTCTTAACCTTGTGGGTTTTATCCGGGTACTATGGTTTCCTCCCACTGGAAAGACCCCATGCATGCAGCACATTTGTGGAACTCTGTACGCGTACATCTACGGACAACCTCTTTAAACAACAACTCAAAACCTACCTGGTTATAAGTTCATATTTATAAACTATTTCCTGGATGTGGTCCCCCTTGTCAGTGGTGCAAGATGGAGAACCTGGCCAAGGGACAACGTATAGTTGTTAGGATGGGGAAAAACAACGAGGCCCTGTGTACACCCCTTGACAGTTGGAATTCGAAATAAAGAGTCGGCTGTAGTGCTTTAAGTAGACGGGGGGTTGGATGGCCAAATGGTTAGCATGTGTGCGCTGCGCTGTATCATACGGTCTGTCATTGAGTCAACTGGCAGGGTCTCGATTCCCCGGTTGTACGTGACGAGGAGTAGGGTCGCCTGTCCAACCTCCGGTTTCCTCCCACTGCTAAAGCGAATTATTGAAATAAAATTGAACCATGTGTTAGTCCCGAAATGACCTAGTTTGTGTTGAGTGGACGTTAAACCCCATCTCTCTCTCTCTCTCTCTCTCTCTCTCTCTCTCACAGTATTGGATTCTAGCATTTTGAAAAGACCCTTGTTATTATTTATATTATTCAGTTTATATCTGTTTTATTTCCAGATTATGCAGTGAATATCAACTCTGTTGGTGAAGTGTGGATCGGATTAAATGATATCAGAAGTCAAAAACAGTTTGTTTGGCTGGATAAATCGCCTAACACACTCACGTAAGTTTTATTCCTTATTTACACTCATTGTTAGGACAGCTGAGTAGGTTATAAGGAGAATGTGTCTTCAATAATTGTTTGGACAGCTGAGTAGGTTATAAGGAGGGTTTGTTTACAGTAATTGTTACGAGGGCTGAATAGGTTATAAGGAGGGTTTGTTTACATTTATTGTTACGGGGGCTGAATAGGTTATAAGGAGGGTTTGTTTACAGTAATTGTTAGGAGGGCTGAATAGGTTATAAGGAGGGTTTGTTTACAGTAATTTCTAGGACAACTAAGTAGATTATAAGGAGAGTCTGTTTACTCAGCTGAGGGGAGAGTGTAGATGAGTAGTTTACAAGGAAAGTGTACTTAGTTTATATTGAAGCAGCATTATGGAAGATTAGATAAAGAGCTGACAGTTTTCGCTATAATAGATAAAAAAATAGATAATGTAAAGAGAATATGCTGAAAATTTCAGTCAAATTACTTCTCTCTGAGCTGAGAAAAACAAATTTTAAAAACACTGTTATTGTTACTGTTGGTATGATAATGAACAAAATCTCAATTATCCATTTTAATAACACTGTAGTCTCAGTTGTTATTGTTATCGTTGTTATGAAAATGAACAAAATCTCAATTATCCATTTTAATAACAACTTGTCTCAGTTGTTATTGTTAACATTGTTATGATAATGAACCAAGTCTCAATTATCCATACACTGTAGTCTCAGTTGTTATTGTTACCCTTGTTATGAACAAAGTCTCAATTATCCATACACTGTAGTCTCAGTTGTTATTGTTACCCTTGTTATGATAATAAACTAAGTCTCGATTATCCATTTTTACAGTTTAACATGAACCCCAATTGAATTGCAGATCGGATTAAAATCTGTTTAAAATAGGATCCACTGCATATGTTGGATAGCCGAATGGTTAGCATGTGAGCGCTGTATCATAAGGCCTGTCATTGAGTCAACTGACGTGGTTTCGATTGCCCGGTTGTACATGACAAGGCGTAGGGTCACCTGACGAACCTCGTGGGTTTTCTCCTGGTCTCCTGGTTTCCTCCCACTTCTAAAGACCCCTACGCACAAACAAATTGTTGGTCACGAAATGAACTAGTTTGTAATCCTTGTAAGACATATAGAGGTAGATTTCACAAATTTGTTAACTATATATTGCACCACATTTTTGTTATATATCATTATTTGCTTGATAACGATATCTGTATGTGTATCGAAACGTAGCATGTTAATAAATTCAGAAGTAGTATATCCATATAAGTGTTTTTAATTAATGAACTAGTTTGTGTCAAGTGGATGTTAAACCCCATTTCTCTCTATATATATATATATATATCCAGTAGGCTACCCTCTGTATTTTCAGGTTGTACGATTCCGAGAAGTACAAGAAAGACAGTGACTGTGGGTATTTAGCTTTTCATGAGGATATAATTTTAAAAGTAGCAGATTGTAATTTAGAGAAAGACAGACGATATATTTTGTGTAAAATGAATAAGGGTAGGTAACTCTCAATTTCCCTTTCAACAACTCTAGATTTTTTTTATAAATTTTATTTTATTTCATTTTAGGATTGGGAAACATGCAAAGCCTATATAATACCTCTTCCCAAAGATTTTACATGTACAGAAATAAGAAAAATAAAATCATCTACACTATTTACAATGTAATACAGAAATATAACAACAATCAATCAATCAATCAATCAATTACATTCAAAGTGGGTTAAACATACTTTCCCAGAAAAGTGTTTATCGGGTGGTTTTTCCAATAAAAGTATGGCAATTGTGGTATATATGGAATGTAGAAATATCCAATCTTACTACAAAAATACTGGATTCCCTTAAAAACATACAGGACAAAACTTAGGAATGTCTGCTCGCATCACATCAAAGGTAGCATGCGAAGATTGAGCGCTTGATGTATATCTTGATAAACTTGATGAAGAGCTAAACATACAACACTTTCTGAGATAAAAACCACTGAAAAAGACGCGGGCAGTGGATAATCCGATAATTTAATTAGGCTTTGATATTTATGAATCATTGATAGTGGTTAAAGACAATATGGTCTTGTGTATGCAATTAATTCTCCTCTGGCTTCGCACCCGTTGCTCGGTAGTGCGTTGGCTAAGTCACGTGACACAAACATGACTTCTTTTAATAGATTTTTTTATAGTAGGGGTATTCCCTCGCAAAAACAGTGTTTTAAGAAGGATTTGAAGCAACATTTTGATAGATTAATTAGTTTGAAATTTAAAGGTGGGTGGGAGGGAATGAAAAATGAAAATAAAATAAATAATAAAAAAAGATTCTAAACCAATAAAAATGATTTTGTAATTTCTATATGATTATGAACTATTGAAAATATGGAGTAGTTGGTAGCATTGGTAAGTTGGGAAGATCCAGAAACAAGTTTTTAGATGTTCTCCTTTCTTTAACAATTTTTGGTTCCAAGTCAACTTTACCTATGCTTGGCAGGTTGAAGCGTTGAGATCTACGGGGGCCCCAGATAAAGATCGTCATCCTCGGCTTTACTCAATTGTGTTTAAAATACACTTTTATCTTCCTCTAGCCGTTACAGGTAATAATGTACCATATATATTTTTTTCAGGTGAAAAAACAGAATTATATCCAATACCCCAGACTCCAATACCGAAAGGTTCAGGTGGGTTTGTTATTTAAATGGTTATAATCGAGATAAACGATAGGAAGGTCTGTACATTGACGAACAATGTGGCCTAGATGTCTTGATATATGTAATGTAGATAACTAGTCACCACTGACAAAGGCGAGGTTGAATGGCCGAATGGTTAGTACATGCGCGTTGTATCATAAGGTCTGTCATTGAGTCATCTGGCGTGGTTTCGATTCCACGGTTGTACATGACAAGGAGTAGAGTCGCCTGTCCAACCCTCGTGGGTTTTCTCTGAGTCCTTCGGTTTTCTCCCACTGCTAAAGACCCCTAAGCTCAAGCGAATTATTGAAATGAAATTGAACCATGTGTTAGTCCCGAAATGACCTAGTTTGTGTGAGAGGAGGTTAGACCTCTCTCTCTCTCTCTCTCTCTCTCTCTAACTTCAAGTACTTTGATCCCTAGTAGGGAGAAATACTGCTGTTGTGGCCAAAATGTCCATAAACGAATTACTGAAATAAAATTGAACCATATGCTAGTCCCGAAATAACCTAGTTTGTGTTTTTTTTCTGTTTCAGGAGAAATTACCAATCCTAGATTAATTCTGGGAATAACGCTAGGAATTCTTTCTTTTCTAATGGTTTTTGGCGTCATATTTATATGTCTTAGACGATTAAAAAAGCGTTCAAGAAATCAACAATCACGTCAAAATTCAACCAATCAGGCTAGAGTTCCTCCAGCTTATCATAGAAGCAGCAGTGGCCCCAGTAACTCGCAGCCTACCAATGTCACACTAGAAAATAATGTACCTGTAACACCGTCAGCTCCGCCCATGCCAGATCAGCCTCCCTCATATGAAGAAGCGATTCGTAATAAGCCAGAATATTATTAAAGTGGGCGTTTTATATACAACCGTATTCTTTTTAAGGACCCATTATTTTATTTTTTTTTTTTTATAAACAATATTTTATTTCATTTGAAAATGAATTGGAGAACAGGCTAAGCCTATGTTGACTCCTCTCCAGAAAGACCCATATTGAAGTGTGGTCATATATTGTCATCACCCATGTCTGTCTGTCTACAAATCTGTCGTCCATAATGTTTTGTAAAGGTTTTTCGTGTGTTATTTTCAACTGTGGCTGAGATAAACTCAATATGATAAAATATTTTTGCTTTGAAAGCACTTTTAAAGATAAGAAAGGCTATTAAGACCTGGTTATCTGTTGCTATAATCTTTGGGTGGCATTTAGTGTTTGAGAAACATTAAAGGGTAATATTGGTATCAGTCATTATCTCATAAGTGATAGAACTCGTTAAATATGTTCCAAATATAATTTTACGATAAATGCGTATTAAAGGTTTCAACAATCGGAAGTGACGAACGCAAAAGAAAAACACAAGTTATCCTTCTATATAACTGACTGAAGTGACGAGTGATAACTGATACACCGGCAAATTTCTGCTCACTAATTTCTGACAATTCAAAAAAATGATTGACTGTCACCTTCATTACGCATCTATTGTAGCAATGATTTCTGTGTTAAAATTATATTTGGAACGTGTTTAACGAGTTCTATCACATATGTGATAATGACTGACACCAATATTGTCCTTTAAGACAATGAGTTTAACCAGTTCTATCACATATGTGATAATGACTGCCACCAATATTGTCTTTAAAACAGAACACAATGTTATTTTGGGCCCAGATTTTAAAGGTAGTGTCTGTGTTAGCCGAAGCCACTTTGTTTGCTAGTTTTAGTTTCCTTTTTGGCTTTCTGTGTCCACAGAACATTCCCAATGTTTCTGTTTTATCCCAGCATGGGCTATATACGTAATATCAATATGGCCAACAGATTGTCATTCCCAAAAACAAATCGACATATAAAATTGGATGAATTTGACAATTTTTGATTTGACTCAGGTCAAAGAGAGAGTTCTATTTTAAAAATATGCCTTGTATTACTTTTTTTTAATATGTTTTTTGTACTCAGTATATATTTTTATGAGAATGTTTTAAACTGGTGATATTAAAGTAGAAATCTGCCAGGTGAATGTTGTAAGTCAGGTAGATTGTGATAGTGTTTATTTCGCTAACTTATTTCTGTACATAAATTTTTTTTTAAATAACTTTAAACGTCACTGATCTTCATTTTTCGGACTATATTTAATTTTTTGGACTATCTCGAATTTTACTGAATTTTTTCAGACTGTATCTCATTTTTTGGACTATATCGAATTTCTCAGACTATATCTAATTTTTCAGACTATATCCAATTTTTCACGGTTTTATGCATGTTAAAATGTACTCAAATTGATTATTTACTATTTGATTAACAAAACCAAAATATTAATTGTACATAATTTCCTGATTTGGATTTATGATATACTAGAAGAATGCCCAGCTTCGCTCGGGGGTCATAACCCCGAAACCGGAAGTGGTAGACTAACGCCACCTGGCCTATGTTACTCCCCGGTCTGAGCTACCCCTATACCCCAAATTTCAGACTCGGGGCAGACCTAGTGTAGCCGCCAACCCAGAACAGACAGACAAACAGACAGACAAACTTCACAAATATTAGTATAGATTTGTAAATAGTGGGGTTAGCATCTTCGGTACCCCCAGTGGTCTCATTCCGTTCTACTCCACTAACGTTTTCAAGTTATCCACCCTTGATGATTGTGCTATTTTTATCGATCAATCCCAAAGATCGTTAATTGCAAAGGAAGTTGGCAAAGGGAAGTAACTCTTATCGGGTAAAGTAAGCCAAACGCAAAGGCTCCCCTTCAAGAGACAAGGTTATGAATTGGCCGAAAGGTAGCTTAAATTATACTAAATGCATATTTATTAACAACAAATTACAATTATTTTATATGTTAATGAAGACAGGACAGGTTTTTATATATATATATATATAGGTTTAGGAGTTTTACTGAGACTCAAATATAAGTTCAATAATTATAAACATAACAGAAATGAAATGAAATGGGGTTTAACGTCCTACTGTTCTGCTCCTAAACTGGGCTAATGAAGACGGGCATATGCCATACAGTGTGCTATGAGGGAAATTTTGCCCGGGCAGCGGCACTACGGCCTACTTTTATATTGAATTCCAACTGCCAAGGGATCTTTTACGTGCACGTCAATGTGTACACACACGGGACCTCGGTTTTTCATCCCAATCGAATGACTAGACAGCTGTCCTTGTCAGGCCCTCCGTCCTGCATTAAACATAACATAATGAATATTTCAGACAAAGACTGAATAGTAATAATAATAACAAAAGTCAAACATATAAATGTTATACATATTTGAAATCAGCGAAACATACTACAGATTTTAATTAATAATATAAAATATCAATGAATTAGAAATATATACATTATTTACATAAATCATTCAGTAAATGGACATGAATATGGTTATCTACCCTTATAAAAACGAAGGCGAAACGATTGGTTTGTAAACTTTAGCTACAATCAAGGCCAGGGCAGATAATTCGAAATCGTGAAAACTCTATAGATTTATCCAGGGTATAGTGGAGTAGAACGGAATGAATACACTGGGGATACCAAGGTTGGGTGGTCTAGTGGTTTAACGAGTTCGCGTGAAATCACAAGATCTGACATTGGGTGAAGTCGTGTGGTTTCGATTTCCCGCTGGTACTTGACATGCAGTAGGGTCGCCTGTTTAACCTCGTGGGTTTTCTCCGGATCCTCCGGTTTCCTCCCACTGATACATTTCCTCCTCCTACATGCAAGCGAATTATTGAAATAAAATTAAACCATGTGTTAGTCCTGAAATGACCTAGTTTGTTTCAATTTGTAAACATTGAATCATTTTTAGAGTGTCTTTCTTTTTAGAGATGCCACA